GTATAAATCTATGCTTTCCGCGGCTCATGTTGAAATAGAGATACGCTCTCGCTTCAGAAGAGAAACGTGATTTCCTATTAAAAATCTTGCCCGAAATTTTTAGTTTTATCCAAAATCATGTATACCTACCGTAAAAAAATGATTTAAAGATTAAAATCTCCGAAGAGTCCAACTCTTGGGGGCTTGGTTCTGTGTGCGTGAAGTGTTAATGGTTGGTTGGAATAGTTTTATTGAGTTATTTACGAAATATTTTTTACTGAGCGCAGAAATTTACGTGTGGGGTAAACCGCTCTATCGTGCCAGTTCTTTTTGATATCGCTAAATATCTGAAAAACTCCTTTGAAATACTGATCTAAGAATATGACGAGATGGAAACAACCGTTTGTGGTACGACAAAAGGCCGTGCTATTTTGAATCCGCAAATTTCTGAATCTGTGAATAGGTGCTTTTTGTCAAAACTTTAAGACCGTCGATACGATTGATAGCACGAACCATTCATTCCCCTATTTTTAAAATTTCAAACTAAGTATTTCGTACGTATTCCAAAGGCAATTTCTAGTTTTTTTATTAAAAAGGGAACCACTGTGGTTCGTTGTCATAAAAATCATATGAGGTGGAATTTTAGAACACTACCATAAGCTTAGGGCAGAGCAGCGTTTAACGACGTATTCCGTCCTTTTGAGATCTCTCAAACTGGATTGAGTTTTCAGGGCGAATGCATGCCAATGTGTATGCGAATGCGGTTGGTTCTGTCACACAATTGGAAGAGAAGCCCATGTTTCGAATGCAAAGACTCAAAGGCAGTCGTTACTTGTGAGATGGGCCAGGCGCAGTGTAAGCGATGCTGATTAAGGTGTTATTTCGGTGAGAAATTGTTATGCTGATGCTGAAATTGCTGATCGAAAGTGACAGATGATCGCCATGGGAATCAATAAAAAAAGACACTAAGGGTCCCTAGGCTCTATTCTTTAAATGCCGATGCTCATAATACCATGAATCAAGGTAATAAATGGCGATCGTTGATATGAAGATGTAGCTTTTCAGTGCGGTGTACCCGTCCCACGTACAATGAATCAATCAGTGGCGTGGCGTGCTCTGCGATAAATCGATTGATCTGCCTTTTAAACCCATGGAAAAGGATCGAAAGATAGGGTGTTCGCAAGAAACACCTTAATAATCGATTCTTGACCATAGCTTCAAATGGGGAAATATCGATAATCGATCATTCTCACTTCGCCACTGAAATCAATGGATGGTCATTAATGTGTACGTGCATTAAACACGTACAGATAAATATATTAAAAGTGAATTCTAAAACTTTATCCCAGGTGAAAGAAACATTGAAACGGCTCACTCCTGATCACCGATTAAAGTAGCAAGGGGTTCTTTCTTTCTTTTTCCTGTCTACTTATGTGATTATGAAAAGGGGAAAAAATGTCACTGAGGTTTAGTAACGCTTGAATTGATGGTGTATTTATAACCTTCTATCTGCGTTTAACTCAAGCGAAAATTTTGAAAATTTCTTTCTGCTTGTTCCATATCCATATGTCTCACTGCCATCGATGTTTCATTAATTTAAAATGAAGGTTCAGAAAAAAACATTTTCAGTTCATTCGATGAGCGTGTATTCGGACTTCATTTTTTTACTCGTGGTGCAACAAATCATCTGTCCTCGATCAGGAGTTATCGTGAAATCGCACTTTTAAACCGTTTATGTGAAAGAGCTAGGAGGTTATAGGCAATGGAACACTGTGCGAAGGAAGCAAGGCCTTTTTTAAAAAGGAAATAATGTAAACTTTAATAGGAGCGTGTAAGTATTACGCGGTATTCAGTGTTGACCTTATTGGAAACACTTTTTAAACACGGATTAAATAATTAACTCAAGTTTAATTTAGCCACGGAGAAATTTTTACGTAAAATAAAATGTCTTTGAAACTGAGGGAATCGTTGTTAATTACATGTCGAGACAGAATTAATTATCATTGTGACAGGGTGTAAACTTGACGGAATTATTCTGCCGTACTAAGGTAAAACTCCGTAAAAACATGCAAGAGTTGCCAAACTTCCTCCGATAAAATGTTCATTTTTTAGGATCAAAATGAATATTTTTCATTGGAATTTTTAGTTACTGTAGAATAAATTACGAATGAAATTCTGTAAAAAAAATCGTGAGAAAAATATCCACAGAGTTTCCAGCTAACTCCCATTTTATCGAAAGAAATTTTGCAACGCCTATAGGCGTATTTCCTTCGCAGCACGGCAGTATTAATGAAAAATCATGCTATGGCGATTGTCAGAAGTTTCGCCATTTCAATTTTAGGTTTTGCAAATTTTAATTTTAATCTGCACTAAGAGGCGTTTAAATGCAGCTATCCCTAGAGACACCTTGTCTCAATTTGTAAAAGTGTCCATAGCGGGGAAAAATTCAGATTGAGGTATACGAGCAGGTTCCCTGGTAAAAATTGGCGACAAGAGCTGCGTTTCAAAATACCATAGGAATTCTTATAGCCGGCTAAAGAGGGCTACAGAAAATCATATAGCTGGCTGAAGAATGAGGAGAAAATCATACGGCCGGGCTGTACGAAGCGATACAAAATTATGCAGCCGGGCTATAGTTCCTGTAGCCGGGCTTTACTCCGCAAATTAAATTAAGATACTACGGTCCAAAAAGAGAGCAGTATTCCAAAAACTCACTAAGTCCTAGCATCCATAATTAGTAACATTTAGCATACTTTTTATCGCCTGGCTGTTGCTTAATCACCATCGGCGATAAAAAGGCCATAAGAAATTGTGTAGCCGGCTATAGAAGCTATTGGAAATCTTACAGCCGGCTGTAGGTCAATGGTATTTTGGAACACAGATTCTATTGCCAATTTTTACCAGGGTTATCACAAAAAAGGATGAAAATGGAGCAATCTTTTGACAGGAAGCAAAGAATCTATCATGACAGTATTCTCAGATACAACGGATGTGTACTAGTATACTTAGATGGTCATTTAGCACACAGGGTGCTAACTAAATATGCGGCTATTTCAGCGGGCGACATTAGTTTTCCAGCATCTTGCATGCACTAATTGTAGCCAGGAAACCTATCATAATAGACGATCTTGCCAAATATTGCCATTTCTTGTCATAACATGCTCGCTTACAACTCCCTTGTTGCCTATGATTCTTTCTCAATGAGCAATTTTTGATGAAATGCATGTGAGGTATCTTGCACTGCACGAGGGAACACAAAACAATCTCCTTTAAAGACCCATAAATGAGTTGTGTGTATAAAATGGCCATAACTGTTTTTCCCATGAATTAAATAATCTGAAAAAAGGATGATACTCATATTCCCGTAATATTTTTCTAAAAGCACGTTACCATTCGTTTTTTTTTGTTTTTTTTGTTTTTTTTGTCGCACTAGGTGGTTTTAAAATTTCCAAGGAAACACCCAAATCCGCAGAAACGTTTTGCCTAACAACGAAACTGCACAAGAAAAATTTGGAAAAAAATTTGGATGAATGAGCTTAGTGAAACTAGAAAAATTATTATTGAATTACGATTCGTAATTGATGAACGTGTATTTTGAAGAAATGATCAATTAGCCACATTATTAGAAAAAAATGTTGATGAGTGATTATGTTGTATTAACTTTTAGGAATGAGATGAATTGGTTTTGAGGGAATTCTTAGTATAAACTGCAAATATTGAGCATGCGCAAGGTAGCCCACGAAAAGTGAACTAATGTTTGAAGCACTCTGAACATAAGTGTATGTTGTAGACATTATTCCAATTGTAACATCTGCAACTGGATAGGGACGAATAAGCTGAATAAGAAAACTCAGTTGTCAGCACTTCAGCCCTTCTTGAATAACTCAAAAAAAGAAAAACAAATCCATAGTGCCACTCTCTTGTCCTGCTTTACGTGAATTGCTTCAAAGCAAACAAACTATCAAAATGACAATGGTTCCAACATGATCCGACGAAAATAAGGGTTAAATTTCATAGGTTGCCTCTAGTAGTGTTTTAGTGTGCGGAGCTTTCAAAAGACATCTTATCGAGAAGTGAATTCCAAGATGTTTTAGGTTTCTCTCTAGTCTCCTAAATGAAAAGTGCCATTTAATGCGTCACACGTATGCGACAACACACACTTTAACAATTCTTGAGGAAACTCAAATTTATAAGATTAAATCAAAATGTGTGCTTTTAGGAGGACAGCTGATTCCCCAATTGTGACAAGGGTAGATATCTACAGTAGTACAGTGATGAGAAAAATATTCAAATGAATTGGGTAAGTGTGACTATGGTAAAAGCACTACGATTAGGATTCGTTGATTTTTTGTCTCACTACACGAAGAGACGGCAATTCACGTTACAATACTTCCATTCAAGTGGCCCACCAAACTTCTCGGTGAAAAACATCTAACTTTAGTACAGTTAACTAAAACTGTTGGTAAAAAATATGTGTCTAAATGCACCACTGGATGAGGGGCAAATTTTAGCATTATGATAAGTGATCTATTTCTGTCTTTTATGTGGCATAAAAATCGTCGACGTCTCTATAAGTTTGTTGTATACACGTGACCTCACATCGCCGTCTCCCGGTCGAAGGAACGTAACTCCATTCCAAGGTTGCCAAATTGATTCAAACAATTACTTCCTTTACTAAAAGGTACCAATGCAATTTCGGTTCAAAACTTTCCTGATTTTTGCATTAAACCGGAGGAAAAATCCTTGAAATCCTCAGTCAGGAATGTCCAAGATTCTCCTGGTGAATATGCAATATGCGAGGAGAGATTTGACAACATTGAATTGGAGTTACGCTCTTTCGTGACGGAAACGACGACATGAGACCCTCTATTAGGCTCCCCTTGCTTAAAAATCGCGATGCTCAGGTCTCCCTCAGACTTGACAGGAGGAACCGCGGTAGCAGAGAGTAGGTACTCAACTTGGACGAGATTAGTGGCAAGGAAGAGAAATGCTGGTTAGTGGAAAAGAATTGGTGGACTTACGCGGTGTTTCCTAAGTGTTCACCGGTGTCCATGCTTAAGCATCCAGCACCACCGCCGAAACCGTATCCCTTGGGTCCGAATTTGCGGGCGTGGCAGTTCTTGCAGTACAGCTCACCTTCGTGTTCTGTGCAGTTAGTGGAGTCTAGGAATTTGTTGCACAGACCTGAAACGAACGCACGTGAAAAAATCATCTCGCTAAAATCGATTTTGTGAGAAAAAACAATTGAACGGAGAGTTACAAAAATCAAACCTCAATCGAATTGTAAAGAAGCGAGGCTCTGTTGTTTCGTCACCACTGACAGTTCTTCCATTATCACTGCAGAGGGTCAAAATGAGTGATACAATTATATCAACGTCTAAGTGGCTCAAATTGCATATTCACTAAATTGAAGGAAAATCAGTTTTCAAGCTCTAAAATTCACGTGCCCACAAAAAGCAAATCGCGTTACGAAATTTGAAATCAAACAAAAATTTACTTGAAGGCACGAAAATACAGAATGAGGCAACATTGTATTGTTAATTGAACGACGAAAAAGTACTTCAAGATAATGCAGTTTATTCTAATCTTACTCTTTTATATCAGAAAGAGTATTTTACTGATCTTTCAAAACAAAATTTTAAAAGAAATTCCTTAAAAAAGCAGAGTATGATTACACGGAATTTTGGCTAATAATGTTGTCATCCTTAAAAAATAGACTTTGATAGGAAACCTGTAAGGTCGTAGACCGAGGTACAATGAGGCTCCGTAATTTTTATATCGATGTTGTTAAAAATGCTGCTGTGCATACGTATAACTCATGAAATTTATAACTGCAAACCCAAGAAAATCAACCGTTTCTAATTTTTAAAATCGAGCTTGATTTTTTCATGTAAAATTAAGAGAGCTACCTAAAAATTGTACTTAATTTTATTTCTGTGGTTCAAAACAAAAGTGGCTTTACAGAAGGTGATTGTAAAGAAGCGGGGTTCTGTTGTTTCTTCATCACTAAATATTCTTCAATTAACGCATAGAGGGCGATCAAAATGAGTGATACAACTACATCAACGTCGAAGTGGCTCAAATTGCATATGCACTGAATTGAACGAAAACCCAGTTTGCATTTTGTGTTTTGACCTGTTTGGACTTCAGATTCATTTCATAAACCTGTGCCTTCTACACCTTTGACTTTTTAGAGTTTAGTGTGTGATATTCCATAATTTAATTTTTTTAGTAATTGGAAAGTATTTGCTTATTTGTAAATTATTGGTTTAAGCATCATGATCACTACAACTCATGCGATCCTCATAAAACGTTGCGTTTAGAGATAAAATTGAGTGCTACAATTTTATCGCCCTCTGAATGGCTAAAATTGCATGCCTAGCCACCAAATTGAGGGAATTTTCCACTGATCCTTCATAATGCTACACAGTTTAGTTTAATAAATATATGCAGATCTATCTTCTTTGGACGGACATGGTACTGAAGTTTCCAAATTTAGTTTCGATAGAGTTTGATCAAGAGAATAAATGAAACTTACCGCATTTGAAGCAGCCTTTGTGCCATTTTAAGCCTCCGGCTACTCTTTCTTCGGCAGCGTATACCGATTTTTGGCATTTCGGGCATTTTGGGTTTTCCACGGGCTTGAAAGGCATGGTGAACTATGAGGTATTGATCTGAAACAAAATTAATAATTGTTTTATCATTAGTCTACAAATATACGATTTTAATAGAATAAGCACATATTAATAATAAAAACTCTGACACTCAGTGGATTTTATCCAACAAAAACTAGGTGTACAAAATCTTGGAGAGAAAATCAATTTCTCGTCGGAAGAAAAAAAGGAGGAGGTGGAGGCAGGGAAAGAAGAAGAGGAAAAAAGAAGAAGATGATGAAGACAGAGAAGGGTATGGAAAAGAAGAAGAAAAAGGTGGACAAGAAGAAGAGGGTGGAGGAGGAAGAGGAGGGGAAGAAGGCGGACAAGAAGAAGGCGGAGAAGAGAAGAAGCAGGAGGAGGAGGAGGAGGAGGGGAAGAAGGAGAAGATGAAGAAGAAGGTGGAGACGGAAAAGAAGGCGAAGAAGAAGAAGAAGGAGACGGAGAAAAAGGCGGAGAAGAAGAAGGCGATGAAGGAGGAGATGAAGGAGGAGATGAAGGTGGAGATGAAGGAGGAGAAGGAGAGGTAGGAGTAGAAGGCTGAGAAGGAAAAGAAGAAGAGGGAAAAATGAAAATAGCGAGAAAAGAAGATGAGAAGAAAATTTATGAGAGGAATAAGGAGAGTAGGGGAGAAAAAGAGGGAGAAAAAGACAAAGAGGAGGCGGGGAGAAATGTCATGTTTTTTTCTTATTTTTTCCATTTTTTCTCCCTCTCCTTATTATTTCTCTTTCCCTCCCTCTTCCTCTCCTTTCTATTCATGCTCATCTCCCGATTCGGAAGGCAAATATTTGGTTCTACAGAATCCAAGACTATCAGACGTGGATTAGTGAGGGATCACTCACTCTAAAATCATCGATTAATAACCAGTGGCGAGGCATAAATTATCGATATCGATATTTCCCTATTTCAAGCTGTAAAAAAACCTTTTTATCGATCTCTTTCCATGGGCTCAAACGGCAGATCGATCGATGTATCGCAAAGCACGCCACACCACTGTTCATAACGTCTTTTTGCGGTGAAATGCCTGCAGCTAGACCCTCTTTTCATTTTCGACGGTGAAATCCGACGTCCAAACCCATCATGATCCCGTTGGTCGGGGGCGGGGGCCTGACGGGATGACGCATGCGAAAATAAAAAAAAATTGTTAATGTGATGTATTAAATTTCTCAAATACGATAAATTTAAGCGGCGTGGAGAGCGCGGTGGAGGGGGAGGGGGCAGCGATGGCCTATATATTCCCTGCGGAACGCCTGTTGACTGCGGCTGGAGCTGGCGGAGGGTTGCCGGGTCGATTTACAAAATTGCACCTTTTACATGCGATTAAAATACTGAAATTCACCGATTATAATCACATCCTGGCAACTATGAGTTCGCGACATCATTGCCGTGCTGAGCGGAAACCGCCTAACTGTGCTGGGAATCTTATGTAGATGCGCTGTTCTTGCTGGGCATTTGTGGATGAATCTCGCCTATTTATCGTGGGAGCCACCGGGGTTGCCAGTTGAAGTCGGGAAATTTTGAATTTAATCAGGATCGATTGTGACATGCAGGTTCGAGCTGGCAACAATGTTTGCTTTTTGGCTCGCGGCCACGCCACGAGGGCGCTCCCAAATATGGCCCTCGGGCGCCCTACCAGGTGGTGTATGGACTCAAACTCAGTCCTGCTGAGAGAAAACAGCTCAAGTTCGATGGGAGCCGTGTGTAAATATGTGTTTTTTTGTTAAGAAGCGTGAAAATTCTAGAACGGATTTTCCATTCTGAGGTGACCAATGATGGAGAAAAGACGATACTGTCTCGTCCGATCAGGGTCGATCAAAAAACTGTCATTCACATTGTCAAGTCGCATCGAAGCGATGGTAGATTTTTCCATCTTTTTTCAATGACCTTAAAATTCCCTATCAACCTCTAACCCTCTCCCCATTAACGCATCATTTTTTTCCCATGAATCCGACCAGATATGTTCAATGTATATTTAAGTATTTTTAAGCGTTCCAATTACAGGAAAGAGGGAACTTGTTCCAAAAACTCAAAATTGAGACATCCGCACCAGTTTTTGAAAATTGCAGTCCTCATCAGCACACGATGCAAGGCCAGTTTTTGTAAAACGTATAGTATGGTTGGGTCGAGTGTTAACCCCTTACCTGAAACCCAGTTTTCCTCAAAATTATGATTCGCGTAAATGAGATGAAGATTTTATGTGAAATTGCCGATGGTCATTTCGACTTCGATTTTCGCGGGAGCCAGAGGCATCGTCCGTCACGGATAACCACATTATGGACCAGTTGACAAGGTATAAGAGTTCAAACATTCTGATACATGTTTCTGCACCGAGATTTCCCGGAAAACACGATTGGCACAATGAAAATTACTGAAATCAAATCCTTACTAAGATATTAAATTTTTGGTTTCCATCGGTCACAAGAATTTTGAACTCCCTGCTCACAACAGATCTACTTGAATCAAATTGCGAACTACAACAATTTTGGCAGGTTTCTTAATCGAGCGATGTTTCCACTCCACCTATTGTATTTTCAAAGTGTTATCAATGTTGCAACAGCTGTGCCGAGGTACTGGAATATAGGTTGCCATCTTTTTCTACCGCAAAGACTGTCACGGTAACAATTAGTGCGCGATTTTTCTCAAGTGAACATGTGTTTGATCATGAGCGGGAGATTTGAATTGATCAAAAAACGTTAAAAAACTTAGTTAGGAAGTCCTCTCAGTCATTTTCTTTGCACGAATCATGATCTACGTAAAGTTTTGATCAAGAAAATGTATCAGAATTGAGGGCCTTGTAGGACAAGGTGCATAAGTGCAGTTTCTGCTATTTCGAAAAATACGCGTGTTTGAAGTCTCGAATTTACACGGACCCTTAAGGCGGAAAGAAAGTTCAAACTGACTTTTTGATGCTTCAAAATTGGAATTTTGGAGCGAATTTTTCACTAGTAATGCACTAGTGTTAAGACTAGTTTTACTTGAAGTCATTCATATATCAATTTTGTCAAAAACTGCACTCATGCGCCTTGTCTTCCAAGCCCCTCAATTCAGAATATAGACCGGTGCCCTCTCTACTCGTCCAATGGATTACATTTTGCAATAAGGAATAACCACTATCTCTTCTCCCATAAAAGTACATATCTACACAGGGAAACCAATGGCATGTATCGATGTATGCTGTGTCTAAAGTGGGCCAGAAATAGTGGTTCCTTATTGCAAAATGTAATCCCATTGTCAATTGAGAATTTGCATGCTTTTTTATTGCTTCACCTAAAAGTACTCGACGAGCTGATTTCACAGTATTTTTATAATTTTTTTCTGGTAAGGGAAATAGTATAAAATGGATTTAAAAGTGAGAAAATGCACCGCCTAGTGACGTCAGCCGGCGGCATTTCCCATTTAGACACACGTATTTTAACAGATTCAATCATCTTGTCAAATTTTCTCCAATACTTGTTCAGTTCATGAACCAAGGGTATCCTCGTGTTCAGTTCACTCAATAGTCTCCACCTACACACGAGATTCATCAAATTTCTGACACCTGCAAATTCTCTTTTGTTTTTTTATTGGCAACTTTCGCCTCGCAACCTATGACGTCATGAATGACGTTCAGACGATGGTCTCACCTTTGAAAGCACGTGACATATTATCTGAAAAATTGAACTTCAAAGTTGGGGCCCTGAGCACGTTGCATCGGGCAAAGCTAAAGATAGACGATGACTCGTAAGTCGGGCAATCATTCCGACGCGCCCCGTCCCAAAATAACCCGTCCCCGCCCCCAGCCCATATTTTCCCCGATCCCAATTATCGTTTTCGCCGAATTTAATTTTTCCTCGGACAAAACTGCCCTGCTCGGGAAAAACGTCGTACGATCATCCCTACGGTGACACATTTCGTCCGATAAAACACTTATTTTTGTGGAAAGTTACGAAAAGAATCAATAGTATCCAATTTTTAAAACCCAGCTTTATTTTTTCTTAAGTACAAAACCCAAAAACTTGGGTAAATCCAATTTTTAAAACCCAGCTTAATATTTTTTAAGTACATTATAACCCTTCACGGCGTGAATTGATTTTGGATCTCAGATTCTGAGGGAAACTAAGCTATTCCGTAACTTGCAGAAAAAAATAGGGAACCGAATTTTTTTTTTTCTTCGAAATTTTAAATTTTTGGGAATCAAATATTCCAAAAAAAGAAAAAACTAATGGATATTTGCAAAATCATGTCACTGAGGAAATATTCAACTTTAAAAACCCCAAAAAATGTGTTGATGCAAGTTCGTAACACTGTGGTATGGAGGGTAAAAAAATGCTGCCGAAAAATTGTATTCAATTTTATCTCTGATGTTAGAAACAAGAGTGACGTTACACGAGGTCGAATAAAACAAACAGGTTCCCGTTGCTTTGTCACCGCTGAAAGTTCTTCGATTGATGCTTTAGAGGGTCAAAATGAGTGATACAATTATATCAACGTCTAAGTGGCTCAAATTGCATATTCACTGAATTGAAGGAAAATCAGTTTTCATACCGTATTATGAGCCGTTAACACATCAGATTCGTGATGGGCACGTGCATTTTAGAACTTGCAAACTGATTTTCCTTCAGTTCAGTAAATATGCAATAAGAGCCATTTAGACGTTGTTACAGTTGTATCACTCATTTAGACCCTCTGCAGAGATAATCGGAACACTTTTAACGGTGACATAATGACATACCCCGTATCTTTTCAACGGTCTTGTGTAACATCCTCTACATATCCTCGTATTTTGGCAGGAGAAATTTGACAACGACGGAATATGCATACGTCGTTTTTCCGTAACACGGTGGGAAAGTTCGAGGGCGCTCGGTGCAACGAGGCTCGACGGATTAAAATGGGTGTAAAACAATTGACCTCAAAAACATTCGGGCGCAGATGCGCGCTCTGCCGGACTAGATCCCTAACTATCTGGTGACTTGGTGACAAGTAAAAATGGGAGTCGTTAGTCTCGACGAAAATAAAAATACACCTCCCGCTCCTTTCAGACCGTGTAATTTACACCTCGCACGTCCTCACGATTAATCACGTCTTTAGTCGATCTGTCCGCTTATTAATTTGCTTCACAGCTTCTTAAGCAAATAAAGTGAGCGCATTTTCGGGATGAACGGTACATTTACTTGAGAAAACTGAGGGGTATGCCCTCTGGCCACTGCGCAGCCCAAACCTTACGAGGCGCGACGCGACCTTCGGGCCCCATCACGAACTGTCTCCTATCAGTAATAATAAAAATCATGAAAATCGGCCCAATGGATATTTAGAGCAACCGATCTACGTTATGCTTAATTGAAGAAGAGCTAAAATGAAGGTATTAATTAATGTCATAAACAATAAAGTCAAATCTTTTTTGTATGTTATTCAAATAGTTCTCTTCAAAGTAGTCATTTTTTTCTCCAAAACCGTCACAATTAAACATTTTTATGCGTGCCTCCTCAGACTGGGGCCTTCAGTTGTATCTCAGATAAGATTAAATCATCTCCGGCAATTTTTGAACGAATTATATCGGAATCAAACTGACTGCATTTCGCATTACCTAATATCCGCTCAATTGTTATATTTTCTGACCAGTGGCTAGTCTTGAAAGTTAGCAACATTGTTTTCCCTCCATTTAAATGTATGAAAAACAATCGATTCTTGGTGAGGCACCATACCTCACCTAAAATCGATATTTTCCATGGATTTAAACGCCCTGGTAAAAATTGGCAGTAGAATCTGTGTTCCAAAATACCATAGACCTACGGCCGGCTGTAAGATTTCCAATAACTTCTAAAGCCGGCTACACAATTTCTTATAGCCTTTTATAGCCCATGGCGACTAAGCAACTCACAGCCAGGCGATAAAAAGTATGCTAAACGTCACTAATTACGGATGCTAGGACTTAGTGAGTTTTTGGAATACTGCTCTCTTTTTGGGCCGTAGTATCTTGATTTATTTTGCGAGGAAATCTCCGTACTTTTGATGGATGCCTGCCATTCCTAATATATAAGAGTGCCTTCAGTTTCGTATGATACTGTGCAATACCTCTGGTGTGAAATAGTCGCTTCAAGCGCCGTGGCACGCTGCGGCGCGGCAGGCGGGCAGCCAACGCGCAAACCTAACAGGGATACTTCACGCGTTGCGCAATGCGTGAAGTATCCCTGTTAGGTTTGTAGGCGCCAGTGCGTCGCCGCTCCGCTTTGGGCTAGGCTCTAATATTTAATCTGGCGGAGTCAGCGTTATATAACCCATGATTTTGAAATGTTTGCACATCCTGTATGGATTATTCTCGTTTTAATTGATGAAAAAAAATATGTATTAAAGGAAAATATACCTAACGTGTGTTTTGTAAAAATTAAGGTGGTTCCGTATCAAACTTATAATGATTTCCAAAGCACACGAATTTGCACACAATTTCTTAAAGCCTTTTATAATCGATGGCGAAAAAGCAACAGCCAGGCGTTAAAGTGTAAAGCCCGGCTATAGGAACTATAGCCTTCTTTAGCCGGCTATAAGAATTCCTATGGTATTTTGAAACGCAGCTCTTATCGCCAATTTTTACCAGGGTGAGGAAAATCAGTGTTGCCAACTTGCAAAATCGCCGCTGTTTGTGACAGGAAACCAAACAATATAATGCCTTGAAACTTGCCAATGGCCTCGGCTCATATAGAATATACTCGCGTAATTTGAAGTCCGAATAATGATTACTTTTCTGTTGAAAAAATAACGCAAGAACGGAAATTCGTTAATGCTTTATGTAAATAGGCTGATTCCGGTTACACTATCGTCCATTTGGTCAGCGATTGCTCATAATTTTTAAATGTATCTTAACGCGTGTATGCTCATTGGGATCAATAATTTTGTCGTGTTTGTTTGTTTTTTTTTTTTCTTTTTCAGAGTTAAGTCAATTTTTTCCCCTCTTGATAAACGCGTCCTTATCGAGAAAAATATTTGTGTTTTTGCGTTATTTTTGGTTATTATAAGGTGAAACACAAGCCAACCCAAATTTTATGTCGATTTCGGTACAGTTACGGCGAATTTACCGTAGAAAACTTTTGGGAGACTTGTTAACCCGAAGGAGGTCAACGAAAGGTTTCGGTTTATGTTTTACTTCCCGTATAACCCGAACTTTGGTTTTTTCTTATTGATTTATTGTGGCCTTTTACATGTTTAAAAATATACATATTGTATGTACATACAAGTAGGATAAAAGGAATTTACAAGTGTCCGAGTTACTTGTATCTTATTTACATTATCAATGTAACATCTATCGGTGTGAAGAAAATACCTATGATGTGAGGAAGATACCTATCGGTGCAAACTTTTGCGTTGAAAATTCTCGCTGCACGAGGGAAACTATTTGACAACTCGGCGATCACCCACCGTTTGGCTCTTTTCCTCGTAACCTAAAATCTTTTTGAGATGTTCAGTATATCTTTTCCTGTCTCCTCGTCCTTTTATTTTCGAGCGATCGAAAGCACTGCCAAAGAATTTACCTGAAGCCGCTCGCTCGCTCTGGGATGTCCGTTCACTTAACCATCACGCAAGACACCCGCGAAAGCAGACCGATCCGGAGAACAATAGGCGAGAGACGCGAACTTGGATTGACAGGGCACGTCTGGACGTCTGCGAGACGTATCGGACGTGGGCCCCGCCGAAAATACTCCGAGTCATCAGTGGCGTGGCGTACTTAGCGATATATCGATTTACCTACCCCTTGAGCCTACGAAAAAGGATCGATGGACAGGGAGTTCGCGACGAACACCTCACTAATCGATTCTTTACCGCTACTTCAATTGGGGAAATATCGATAATCGATCATTCACGCCTCGTCGCTGCGAGTTATCCTCGGTTGCCGGCTTGATTCGTCGTTAATCAAAGTGAGCCCTGTTTTACGTATAAATCCATGCTTTCCGGGGCTCATGTGCACGGAGAAAAAAACTTCGTGCGTGGGACCCGAAGTTGAGGTCATATGCATTTCTCAAGTTTTCGGATCACGTATTTAAAAACTTGAGGTCGAGCTGCCGAAGTTCGGATCAGGCATCGAGGCACTTCAGTATGTACAGGAGTACTTTAGATGTGTGACCTGAACCCCTCGGTATATATCGAAGTACTTCAGATGTCTGACCCGAACTTCGGCAGCTGGACCTCAAGTTTTTAGATATGTGATCCGAAAACTTCAGAGATCCATATGACCTCAACTTCGGGTCCCATGCACGAAGTTTTTTTCTCCGTGTGGAAGCGGAGATACGCTCTTACGTCAAAAAATCGACGAAATATCCCTAAACTGTTTTGAGTACCCCAGGCGGCCTTTTTTTGACGTGAAAATTTCAATTGATTGAAATAAGGCTACGATTTTGTTGCGATTATATCGGCGATAAAATCATCAGCATCTGAGGAATAATTCTCGATTTCATGACGATAAAATGGTTCCTTCAACCTCAACGCTCTATCTCAGCTACTGTACGTTGTTAACAATTTGAGCAGCACAGTACAGTTTCGTTTATTTATAAAAAAGGGGAGAAAAAGCTTTCTGTTCAGAGCACTTGGAGGGTAATTAGCTGCTTGTCTTTGTGACACGGATTCGTTACCCGTTCATCCTCATTTAAGATTCCTATCGAATTTTAAATGTTTTTTTCAGAGGAACATGTGACAACATCGAATGACCTATTAAGCGACGTGAGACTAAAATTTGTTAAAACACTCGGTAGCCAAATCGCAATATTAACACGCATTATTTTGAAAAATTCATCCTGGCATTTTGTCTCACGCTATCAAAGAATATTTTTCACGGTGAACTCGATGACGATTTCTTGTCTGAATTAACTGGAAAAAATCTTACTCCTGAAATATTCTCTGTGCTTTTCAGTCCCCTCTCACGAACAGTTCTCCCGTGGACAGTCACATCTAATTTTGCCGATTTTATTGATAATCCCGAAACGACAGCATAGGAAAATATTTCACCGAAAGTCAGCGGTTAGCGCCGGTTAGCACAGTTAGAGTCCTTCATGCGATATTTGAAATCGTTGAACTGCCGAATACGCCGCGCAGCCATTTAAAATTCGACGTCTCTCAAGCTTTTTACAATTGTACCTACACAATCAAAATCGAATAGAACTATCTCGGTCATCTCAAAACAAAGCTATATCACAAAAAAAAAAATTGTTAAAAACATGATGCGCGCTCGAATTTTTCCTGAGGTGCCCACAAAACGACTTCCCCGCATTCGTCGTTCCTAGAATAGACACAATTTATTAGCGTCGAATACGAAATGAATTTCATTTTAACACCTGGATGGAACTATTCGGGCGCCATGGATGTCCTCGTTGCATACGCACGAAAGTGAAGGCGTTTTGATTGTTAAGGCACTCGCCACTTCATCCGCGGCGCGAAGCCAAAAGTGGGCTAGGATCCAAAATGGCAGAGCACTATCAATTCTTCGTTTATACGTAAGATATCTCCTAGGCACGAATAGTTCCACACCGGCGCAGGATGGATCTTTTGTGCTTCAGTTTCGATATTGCCATGTGCTAAGCATGATTTGTAGAGCAACTATTAATGCTTGAGAGCTGTCTTCGAAGTATGAATGAGGAATTGAAAGCACTCTGATATTTTAAAGCCTCGCAGGAAAGCCCGTGCCGCAATGAATAGAGCCTTTCAGAGAGGTTTAACATGAAAGTTTAGACTACAACGGCAAATTTTTATATAAATTTGTTCACATTATGAATCCTTTGGGGCACTTCTTGAAGAAAATTTCAAGAGAAAATCAATGAAGCCGCTTATATATCATCTACGTTCCGTATTATTATCGATATGAGCTTATAATGTTTCCACATTTTGTCCAACTCCTCTCATTGACTCGCGGCTCTACCTAGCGCCGCTGGTGAGGCGGGCAGTGTCTGAAGTCAAAACGCCTTCAATCCTGTGCGTAGGCAACGCGGACATCCATGGAGCTCGAATAGTTGCATCAAGGCGTTATAATGGAATTTATTTAGTATCCGTCGCATGCGACACCAACTGATGCTTTGATTGCTAACTAAGACTCCTCGAGGAATGGACTTCTTCCCTTGTGAAAACAACTGATTCATATACGAATAGCAGACGACGGCAAACAAACATTTCAACGCGTCACCATATCAAAGACACGTCACCATATCAAAGACTCTAAAGTCTAATTTAACGCAAATATCTATCTGCAGTTTGTCCACTGTTGTTTTTTAGCTGATTTCGAGGAATGAAAATACATGGTTGCAGATGCAGCAATCAACATAACCAAAGTCTTTACGCACGTGACAAAGTTGCCAAGTACCCCATTGAGGTCACAATTCTACATGATAGAAATTTTGTTCTAATAAATTTGGCTTTCAAGTTTCTGGCTGCGGCACAAAAAGGGTGTATGTACTTATCAGTGCAGCCAACGTAAACACTGGACGAGATCGATGGAGCTGAATACGGACCACAAATACCTCCGGTGAAAAATTGCCATTCTGAGGAAGAATTTCTGTGGGTCTCTCCATCCATCTAATTATCACTTTTGTATTTTGTCATTCTGCGCCCCCTCCCCCTCTTCAGGAAATTCTGAAAAATTGGCTGCTCTTGAATGCATTTTGATGCTATTTTTCCCTCAAAATCTGACCTCATGCAAACTTAAGGTTCTCACAGGTTCTCACAAAGGAAAAACGTATATTACAATTTTTATTTCCTTTTTCCTATCTAAGGAGCGTCCCTACATTACGTAACGCTCTAGGAGAGGGGGTCGAGGAGAGAGTCACACGGAACAAATTAAATCGCTGATTTAACAATTCAATTGCTAAAAAAAATGTGACTGCAATGTTGCGGAAATGTAGCGGCTACAAAGCTGTTCTCTATCATGCAGGGTTTATTCGTGGGGGGGGGGGGGGGGGGCTTACAATTTCAATTTCTAAGGCGGCTAACCCACTTTGGTTCCTTAAAAGCCACTCCCTTGTTCATGCATAAAGTACCAAGAGCGAGAAATCGATCGAACGAACTTCAAAGATCATGCCATCCACTTTTTATGCACCTAGATGCAGCGAGCGTATACGGAGTGATTCATCTATTCGACGCGGCCGTATAAACAGAGGCCGCCCCGGTGGGAGTGTGTCTAAATGACTAGATGTTTTCATTCGAGTCCTCCCCCCCCCCCCCCCGGGGTTAGCCCCTCGCGTCGCCGCGCGGTGCCAAGAAAATTGGAGCCTTGCTGCGAACTCAGCCGCGGTAACTGAACGAGCTGCAGGCTGCTGCCCTGCCGAAAATTTGAGAAATTCCCGCCCGGATCTTGGCAGAAAAGGGTCGTCGGTTCACTAATCTCAGGTGTGCAGAACGCGGATGCAAAATCAGTGGAAAATATCGCGCGTTCTCGGGCGGGAACCGATAGTTAATCGAAGAGATTTTACCCGCGTGCGCTGAAACCTCCGCCGACCATCTACCTTGTTAATGTTGAAGCCCTGCCAAAACGACCAAAATTCGCTCGTTTTGCAACCAAAACACCGTGCAGCAAGGTGATTTTGTTCGCTACTTGACGGAAATTCTTCGTGTTGATTATTCGAGATGGGTATTTTTAGGATGTGGAGTCATGCATGTCTCTTCTTGCACACATAAAATGTTTGGTTTTTAAGTTCGGCACACATGAGTAAACATGCTTCACTGTCTACTAAAAAAAAAAAAACACCTAAGCGCACCAAAAAATTTGGAGATTGTATCGATATCGATTGGTTCAACATGTAAATATAGCCTCAAAAGTAAATTTAGAAATCTGAGGTCTTTTGTGATCAATTTTTTAAGGAAAAAAGCCGTATGAACCTTCAGATGTTGCCAAATTTCCTTTGATAAATCACGAATTTCCTGGTAAACTCATGAATATTTTCCTTCCAATTTTTCAGATAATTTTGTTCGCAATTTCACCTGAAATTCCTGAAAATTTCGAGGAAAAATACTCATAATTTTTCCAAAAAATGAACATTTTATCGAAGAAAATTTGGCAACTCTCGAATGTTCATATGGCGTTCTTCATTAACACGGCAGTATGGTACCGCTGACTAAAGGGATGTTTTATCGCAAAAATGGCCAAAAGGGAGGGAACCGAATAGGAGTTGTGACACTTTGCGTTTTGAAGGTAACACGGTTGCTAACAGGGTGCAAAAATCGTAGCTTCAAGAAAGAATATTTAAATCGGGGGTCAATAAAAAGTAATCCAGTGATGGTGTCGGAAATTATCGGATTGAAACGCGGGTTTAGGTCCTCCATTGGCACAAAATTTAAGGGGAAAAATTGAAGTAACAAAATTGGGAACTTTGGATCTTTAAAAACTAAAATTGGTTAAGTGAGGACAAAAAAATTGGTAGCGGGGGGGGGGGGGGGTTGCTTTTGCAACTCGATGAAAAAACAACCCCTGCCTGCCCCTACCCTTGGTTCATGGATTTACGCTAGTATAGAAAAGGAATTTGAGGATGAACCACGGTTTACTTGATTACCTGCCTGTAATTAAAAAGACTCCGGAGCGGTTGAAGGAATGTCTCTTTTATTTCGATTATTAAAGTTCTTAATTGGTCATAAAGTGGACACGCGGATATCTCGAGGAGCATTCGTATCGGTTCACGTTCACTCTTTCTGTTTGAAGCTTATGGTTGCAAGCTCGGATGTAGCCACGGAAGTTATCCTAATTTTTTTTATAAACTCAGTTTTTGCGAGTCAAAAAAATGAGCTCGGTGTCGGTGCTGAAAGTGTGCACGTGCCTGTTATTTGCACTCACGGTAATCTTTATTGTTAATTATGGTGTTATATTGGCTTTTCCAAAAATATCTATCCTTGCAATCGAGATATGTATTTATTTTCTGTTCATATTCAAAATCAATTCACCCTCCGCTAATTAATCAGACCTCGATATGTGCGCTGGGCGAGCTTTTTAAACACTAATTTACTGAAATGGGTTGTTTCTTTTTCAGATAATCAGTTTTAGAACTCGGTTGAGTGGTTCAGCGCCGAATTTTCGCGTTCAAATAGGATACGTCGTCGTGTAATATCAGCTAGTTGCTCACTTTTTTTCACCCAATTCAATCAGAAACAATATATTTTAGAGACTCTGCACTGTATTTCCATATTCCATAACATCTCGGAAGTCAATATACTCAAATGCTCCTGATGATGACTCATGCTCAAAAAGTAGAGTGATAGTCTAAAAATCCTGACCTAATTAACAAAAACTCGCCTAGTAAAGTGCATGGTCACCCTGACATTCATCAGTGATCATTAGGCGAATTTTATTTGATATTTCGCTCAAAAAGTTGTTCATCAATCATCACTGGGCGAAAAATATTGTTGGCCCTCAAATTTTAAGTTTGCCTCACTACTCGAAAGCCAACGCTAGAATTCGCCTAATGATGCTTGATGACCAAAGATTTGAGATATTGGTCAAGTACAGCGATCCCAACCTTATTTGCAAAAGCTCGCCGAGCAAAGTACGTGCTCGTCCCGCAATTCATCAGTCATCAATAGACGAATTTTATTTGATTTTTGGCTCAAAAAATTGGTCATTAATCTTAACGTCAAAACTGCCATGCTAAGGAAGAACGCCGTGTGAACCGTCAGGCGTTGCCAAATTTCCTCCGATAAAATACGAATTTTAATCAAGAAAACTGTAGGATATTTTTCTTCAAATTTTTTTGGACAATATTGTACACACTTTAATCTAAAATAACTCAAAATTTCAAGGAAAACTATGTAGGTACAACTTTCCTGTAAAATTCATTTTTCAGCTGTGGAAATTTGGCAACTCTCGAATGTACATACAGCGTTCTTCCGTAGCATGGCAGAAAAAGAGGGTTGGCCTCCGAGCTTAACTTTTGCCTTACTCGATTACATTGCTCAGATTCTAGTTGCGGGGTCTCTTAAATGGACTGCATTTTGCAATTTGGACCGATAAATTCTGGCTCATCTGAAAAAACACTTATGCGCACAGGGAAACTAATGGCACATACGTTGTTTTTAAACCGGGCCGGAATTTATAGGTCCAAATTGCAAAATACAGTCCAAATATATTTGCTCTGGATTCGCCGATCATTGAAAATAAGGCTCCTCAATAATGCTGTTGCTTTTCCGCTTTTGACAGATCCCTGCTAGCGGTCAGATCGGCCAGTTGTTGAACGATGAGGAAGGGCAACCGCGTGCCGGTGGCATCCCCGGCGTCCCAGCACCCGCCCCCACGCCACCAACAAACAACAACAACAATCGACCACCGATGTTCCCCCCTCCACCTAAACCCGCCCCAAGACCTCCACCCCCTGATCCACCCTCCCCGACAGTAGGCTGTTTCCCATGCTGCCTCAACTGCTTGGTTCTGGCTCCGTCAAGCCCGAATAGACCTGGCTCTCCGCCGGCGCTCCCTGGACCCTTCGGGGACATGGGTGGACTTGGAGCCATCACGGGTAAATTTCAAAAATTGACCCGAACCATCAAATGCATAGTCGGCTGCGTCACGAATTGTAGTTTCCCGTAACATGTCGCGGACAACCTCAGTTCGTTTCATTTCGAAATTAAAGGATTTTGTAACGACGATGTTTTCTCGATTCTTTCCCGTCCCCAAGTAGCACAGTGCGATGAAAATATCGGAATAATTTGCGATTTATTGCAATAGAATTGAAATTGTTTATCGTGAAATTGCAAAACTTTTACATCATTATTAGGCCCATAAATGCAGATTTTAAACGAGCGACGAAGTAAGTTCCGTGTGTCAGAAAGGTTGGCAATAATGCGATGAAAATTGCAACTTATTTTAATTTTATTGCAATCAATTTCAATGAACCGTGCGCCTTCAATCAGTAGATGGGCAACATACGCAACCCATCGATGCAGCGGTGGCAATAATTTTATTAAATTGCAATTTAATGCAATATGTGCTACTTAGGCCTGAGTCTAAGGAGCGGAGACAATATGGACATATATCAAACGAAACTAAGCGCCATATGGGGAAGGGGGAGGAAGGGAGAGGAGGGCTTGGATTGGCGGGTGTTGCGGAACGCGATGCTAGTGCGTCCTATACTCGCAATGCTTTTCCAGGCTTAGTTCCGTTTGACAGAACGCGCTATCCGGGATTTTTAAAATCCTCAAAAGGAACTCAATTTGGCGCTTAGTTCTGTTTGACAGAAAAAGTCTCAGACGACAACGTAAAAAAATAAAAATAAAGGCTCTCCTGCACGTACAAACGGGATGATTCAAAGCAGCTCATCGATGTGATTGAGGTCACCAATGTATTCGTGACACGCCACAGATCAAATCTTGAGTTTTTTAAAGAATTTCGCATAAACCTGGACGAGACATTGAAGAATCAATGCCGGTTTTAGAGGCCCAATTTGTGCGCGGAGAAGAGCCTTGAAAAATGGCAAAAAGCCTGCAACGTTGCGATGCAGTTACTGCCTTTCCCATCGAACGCGTCCGACGATGCAGCGAGAGGGTTTTAGGCGACGAGGAAAAATTATGAATACTTAGTGAAATTGGGTCACAAAGTTGGAAAAAGAGCGGTGTCTCATTGGACCGTGGCGAAGGGAACTGCATTGTTCCCAAATCGTGCTGAAAATCAGCTCTTCTCCTCATGCACCTATGTAAAACATGTTTATCCCTTCGAATTAAATGGCAACCATGAGAGGCCGCGGGATGAACCACGGGAATATAAATAAACGTGTGGCAGATTCGACGAACCAGTGACCTCTCAAAACTAAATCACCGATGCCGAGTTGCGACTGTTGAATATTCAAATTCTCATCGACGTGCTCGAATCCGATTTGAGTTAAGGAGTAATTATGCTCAAACTGGCAAGCTAGGAATATCTGCTGGACTCCTGCCAGAGGCACTTATCATGAGAAATCCCCTCCCCCTTTCAGCCTGTTCTTATAGTAGGTTCAGTTGAAGTAATACTTAATTAATCTTCAACATACAATGTTGATGACTACAAGAGATGCAATAAATGTAAACACTCTCTTCATCGTTGTGATGAATTTTTCGCGAAAAACACGCCCATCTTGTCGAAGCATGGCAGAGGCACACTGAACTGAATTGCTATCAAGTTCTTTTCTGGTCTTTGAAACCGTGCTTACTTGAAAAGCGTTTGATAAATGATGTGCGCTGGGGTAAATCACTAATGGTCGGAGAGAATTGCCGAAAAATTATCGAGACCCTACATCGATCGGTAAAGTTCATACAAAAATAACCTGCCCAATATTTCAGCCATTTTATAGGGGTCACACATCGGCCTCAAAGTTTGCGGCGAGAATTGCATTGCATTAATTGGGAAAGGAGGAGGGACAAACCTTGCAGTTTGGGTTGTTTTTGGAGTAGAAAAATAAAAATTTACGGAGAATTTCGACGGTGAAACTACCAGACCACGTATCTTGGTGGCAATGTGACGTAGAAAAATATCGATGATCAGGGTTTTCGCAACGAAAACCTTAATAATCGATTCTTTACCATAGTTTATAATGAGAAAATATCGATAATCGATCATTCACGCTTCGCCTCTGGTATTCCGGGGCTCATACAGAAATGGTCATCGCTTTGCGATATATCGATTTACCTGCCACTTAAACCTATGGAGAAATATCTATAATCAGGGTGTTCGCAACGAACACTTGGACTGCATTTTGCAATTTGGGATTAAAAATGCTGGCTCTTCTGGAAAAACACTTATCCACATAGGGAAACTAATGGCGCATACATTGTTTTTAAACCGGGCTAGAATTTATAGTTCAAAATTGCAAAACGTAGTCCACTTGATAATCGATTCTTTACCATAGCTTTAAATGAGGAAATATGGTTATAGGATATTTCGTCAACGATTTTTTGTCCGCGCACCTGTTTTTTCCAGTAATTTACGTCCATGCGTTTTTTCGGCACGGGAGTTTTGGTCCACGTGCCAGTTGAGACCCAACGTTAATTGGCTCACATGTAAATACAAACGACAATTGCTCACGACGTTTTTGGATGAAAATATATTATGTCTTGGAAGAATGAGGGTTTTCTTGTTTTGTCTGTTTGGTCCAACGGAGAATAATATATAGTTGAGAGTTTTGGTAAAAATGGGGGAGCGTCAATTCCATGAGACAAAATTCACTAAAACTCTCTACATCTCTTTGGTGTGACAGGACTTAATTATCTTTCAAGAAATTCCCACCTTGTTATACCTGAACCGGATAAACCTCTATATTTGCCTCAGCTAAAGGCTTTTAGATTTTTCTTGTACGATAAGAATCTTGATTTATTTTGCGAAGAAAGATCTGTACTTTTAAAGGATGCCTGCAGTCATTCTTAATACGTTCGATTTCATATAATACTGTACAACACCTCTGTTGTGAAATATATGATTCAGACGCCGCAGCATCACGGCGGGCGGGCGGCCAGCGCGGAACGCGCATTGGCGCCTGCAAACCTAAGTGGATACTTCAAGCATTGTGCAATGCGTGAAGTATCCACTTAGGTTTGTAGGCGCTAGTGAGCCTCTCGCGCCGGCAGCACGCCGCTCCGCTCTGTTAGGCTTTAATATTTATACTCGCATAGTCAGCGTTTTTTAACTCATGATTTTGAAATGTTAGCGCACTCTACATTGATTATTCTCATTTAAATTGATGGAGAAAAAATATGTATCAATTTATCAAAGGAGAATAATAATATAATGTGTGTTTTTTTAAATATTAGTGGTTCCGTGTCAAATTTAATGATTTCCAAAGCACTTTAATTTTTTCTTTTACATTTTGTGCTTTTGTTGTGCTGCAGCGAGGTGTACGCTCAACGAAACGCTCAAAATTTGACGTATTTGACTCTAAAAGATCGATGTACAGATAGGTTAAAACTAAAGATTGCGTGCTTCTTGGTTTTTTTTCCCTCTTTTATTCATTTTTGCAGTCTCTGTCGGCACAACTGCGGCTCATTGAGATTAATGTCGCTTGGAAAAGGTTTTACAAGTATTCGCCACGTTTTAAAAATATAAATGTTTTTAAAATGAAGTAATAATTTCGTAAAGAAAAAATAAAATAAAAAATAAAAAAAGTACCTATACATATATAAGGTAAATTATACATCGAATAATTCAAGGATAGAAATAAAACCAAATATTCACCAATGACAATTTAAAAAGATGATTCAAAAGGAGAGAGTAATAACATTTCATTTAGAAAATGAGCAACCATAACAACACTTCCTTCTCTTTCAATTTCTCATTTCTATATTGTCAATATAATTTTACATACCGACTGAAATAAAACGCTTGAACCAAGTCCCTGTTGCTTACTTTACGTGTGGGTGTAAACTACTGGACAAAAAAGTTGCGCGGACAAAAAATCGTTGACAAAATGTCCTAAAACCGGAAATATCGATAATCGATCTTTACAAGGGCTCGTGCGGAAATCGAGATAAGTACGCCCTTATGCCAGAGGAGCGATAAAATGGCCGTATATTTTATTCCGTTTGAAACGAGTTTTTCAATTTCTCGCAAGTTAAAACCCACAGATTGCAAGTCAAACGCGTCTATTTGACAACGTGGGAAAATTCGGATGGGCCTGACACTCGTCTCGACGAGATGTCAGTCTGCTCCAAAAGTATGTTGCTAGTGCCATTTGGCTCAGACGCAGAAATATGACTCCTCAGCTCCGAATTAAAAGCTTTCCATAGCGCCACGCGGTACCGCTTTTGAAACGGAGGAGAGAGGATAACACGTTGCTCATCTTCGGTTAGCTCAGTTAACTGACTTTCAAACAAAAGTAANAATTTTTTCTTTTACATTTTGTGCTTTTGTTGTGCTGCAGCGAGGTGTACGCTCAACGAAACGCTCAAAATTTGACGTATTTGACTCTAAAAGATCGATGTACAGATAGGTTAAAACTAAAGATTGCGTGCTTCTTGGTTTTTTTTTCCTCTTTTATTCATTTTTGCAGTCTCTGTTGGCACAACTGCGGCTCATTGAGATTAATGTCGCTTGGAAAAGGTTTTACAAATATTTGTCACGTTTTAAAAATATAAATGTTTTCAAAATGAAGTAATAATTTCGTAAAGAAAAAATAAAATAAAAAATAAAAAAAGTACCTATACATATATAAGGTATATTGTACATCGAATATTTTAAGGATAGAAATAAAACCAAATATTCACCAATGACAATTTAAAAAGATGATTCAAAAGGAGAAAGTAATAACATTCCATTTAGAAATTGAGCAACCATAACAACACCTCCTTCTCTCTCAATTTCTCATTTCTATATTGTCAATATAAATTTTACATACCGACTAAAATATAACGCTTGGACCAAGTCACTTTTGCTTATTTTACGTGTGGGTTTAACTACTGGACAAACCAGGTGCGCGGACAAAAAGTCGTTGACAAAATGTCCTGAAACCAGAAATATCGATAATCGATCGTTACAAGGGCTCGTGCAGTAATCGAGATAGGTACGCCCTTATGCCAGAGGAGAGAAAAAATGACCATTTATTTTATTCCGTTTGAAACAAATTTTTCAATTTTTCGTAAGTTAAAATCCACGAACTGCAAATTTTTGTCGAATGTGTCCACTTGAC